AAAACTCCGATCATAAAGACGGTCATGACGAGTTGCGTCGCCAACCCCCTTAAGTTTACATATTGTTATAATGTTTTAAAAATCGATGACTTGAGATTAAATTAAATTATGTAAATTTATATATTCTTATTATTTCACTGTAATAAGTTTATTGTTAATCCTATGAGTTGATGGGGAAGGAATGTTACGTGTTGGTTTTAAAGGTTACGGGTTGGTTGTGAGAGATACGCGTTGGTTGTGAAGGTGTTACGGGTTGGTTGTGAAGGATAAGTACTAGTTGTGAAAGTTACTGATTGGTTGTAAAGATTACGGATGGATTGTGAATGTTACGGGTTGGTTGTTAAGACTAAGCGTTGGTTGTGAAGGTTATTTGTTGGTTGTGAATGATACAGGTTGGTTGTTGAGTTTACGGGTTGGTTGTTAAGGATAAGCGTTGGTTGTGAATGTTACGGGTTGGTTGTTAAGGATAAGCGTTGGTTGTGAAGGTTACGCGTTGGTTGTGAAGTTAGCCTTCACAACCAACTCCTTACCGAGGTTGGTTGTGAAGATTTTACAGGTTGGTTGTGAAGGTTACGCATTGGTTGTGAAGGTTACGGGTTAGTTGTGAAGGTTACAGGTTGATCTTATTAAGGTTACGCGTTGGTTGTGAATATTACGGGTTGGTTGTGAAGGTTATGGGTTGATTGTTAAGGTTACACATTGGTTGTAAATGTTACACGTTGGTTGTGAAGGATACGGGTTGGTTGTTAATCTTACGAGTTGGTTGAGGATAAGCGTTAGTTGTGGAGGTTACACGTTGGTTGTGAATGGGATAAGCGTTAGTTGTGGAGGTTACACGTTGGTTGTGAAGTTAACATTCATAATCAACGCGTAACTTTAACAACCAACCCGTAACCTTAACAACCAACGCATAACATACACAACCAAAACGTAACATTAACAATCAACCCGTAACATTCTCCATCAATATACTTGTGGACTTTGCTTTCTTTCACATAACTATCATCTCTACTATCTTTCTTGGTACTCCTCTCAGTCTCATTCTTTGAGTAATAAACAATAGCTGAAGAACCAAATCCACTCCTAGAACTCGCAGGGATTGAAGGAGAGGACCAATTCGAGCTCGAAGGAACACAACTAGATGCTTTCTAAATCAATTCGTCTAATAATGAATGAATGTTCTCAAGATCAAGTAGCTTAAGAGCTTCTCTCTTTTGGTCTTTACTCTGAAAGTAAACCAAATTCTTCTACATCTCCTAGAGAACAAATAAGAGTTCCCCAGGGATCTCAATACCTTTCATCTGCTTTGAAATTGACTCCATTGTTGCTAGATCCTCCTTCTCTATGCTTTTAACTATTGTCATAGCTGCTTCAACCTCAACAATATTTGGCCTTGGTGGAAGAGACCTATAGAGGTTCATGATCTCTTCAATAACTCCATTAACTGATTACAACAAAGAACCTATCTTTCTTCAAAGTTTGAGAAACCCAGATGGAAAAAGATCACTAGAGGACTTATAAAGAGAAACCCACATAAAAAATGAGACAATATCAACCCGTAACCTCCTCCACCGCCCTATGTGCCACCGCTCTGAGCTCTTTCGCCTTGATCCTCATTTCCTCGTACTCCTCCCCTCCCCTCATCACTCTCTTCAAAGCCCCGGCGATCTCCTCTGGCGCTCACCGATCATCTGCGACTCTATGGCCACGGCCTCCTCGATCTCGAACTCCTCGCCGTTGGAGCTCCGAAGGGCGATCGTCTTCTTTGAATCGTTGGCGACCGCCATCGGGGAAAGGGACAGATGAAACCCTTTCAAATCATCACAGATAAAAAAAGAGAGAGGAAGAGAGAAATGATATTATGATCTTCACATGTTTAAAAATTTGGGGTTTTGTGTTTTGGGAGGCGCGGGAAATTACGAGTTTACTTTTGGGGGTTTTAGAAACGTTGAAAAAATCTTCGGGGTGGGCGGAATACTTGCAAGGAAATTGGGGCTGAAAGCAATTTCCCCAATAAGTAAGCATACTTAAACAAAGGACGCCAAAGCGAAAAAAACAAAGAGAGAGAGAGAGAGAGTGCGAGCGAGGAGAGAGAGAGAGAGAGACGGAGAGCGCGTGGCGGAGCAGCAGATGCAAGCAGACCTCCAACCACCACTCTCACCTCCCCCAACGGCGGTGACCGCCACCCACCGCCACCACCCCGAACCCTGACCCGACCCCCCCCCCCGCCCCGCCCGCCCTCCTACCCTCCCGCCAGCCACGGCCACTACATCCCCGCGCCGCCCCCTCCTCCGCCTCCTTCAAGGGCTCTGCTGCTGCCTCTTCCTCCTCCTCATCTTCCTCGCCCTCTCGCCGTTCGCCGCCGTCCTCGTCGTCGCTCCTCGTTCGTTCCCGCCCAAGAAGCCCCAGTTCGACCTCAACCAGGTCGCCGTCACCTACCTCCCGTCTCCCCGACCCCCGCCAGAACTCGCCTACCTCACCCTGAACCTGACCCTCCTCTTCACCGCCCAGAACCCCAACAGGTCGCAAGCATACCGGGTACGACCAGTGCGTCTTCTACGTCATGTACCACGGGCGTGCCGCTCGGCGTCGCCACCTGCCGGTGGTTCGCGCAGCCGGCGCACAGCAGCAGGACGCTGGTCCAGACGAGGGTCAGCTTACAGCCGGTTCGACGTGAGCAGGGCCGACGCGATGGCCCTCGTCAAGGCGACGCGGCGTCAACGACCGGGTCAGCTCAGGATCGCCGGCGACGTGGGGTCCAGTATTCCGTGCTCGGCTACACTGTCGCCTCGGTCCAGGTTATAGTCCCCCCCCACTCCTTCTTGCTAACGTGCCAACTCAAAATTTTGAATTTTTGATTTTCCCCCTCCCCCCACAGGTGGCGGTGGATTGCGCGATTGTGATAAGCCCGAGGAGGCAGTCGCTCACCTACAAGCAATGCGGGGTCGATGGATTGAACGTCTGAATTTTTCTGTATTTTTTTTTTTTTTGCCGATTTTTCTGAATTTTTTTGATTTCTTTGGCGGAGAGTAAAGGGGAGCGCTTGCTATTGTGCACTGACGGTGGGCGGCGGTGCGGAATTTTTCGGAAAACCCCTTCGATTTTACTAATATTACTGAATAGGACATTCACTGAGAAACATTCTCGGGGATGTTTTTCTCATTTTCTGTGCTCTGGTAATTCCTTCATTTCCTGGCTCGGAAATAGAGCGTTACGTTGGAGTGGCTGAATATTTTCTATATATATATATATATATTACAAATGATTTTTTAAATTATTGATTATTGCAGCTAGTTAGGCTGCTGGCATGTCAGCTTCTGCTCTTCGAGAATCCTGACAAGTTCTGTAATTTAATACTAATTTAGGTGGAAACTTGCAAATGTTGATTTAGTTATTATTACTTTAGATAGAGAGGGAGCGTAGCGTGAATTCAGACAGCGCCTATTTTGTCTTTGTCGCCACCTCGTCAGCCTCCTGCAGATACTGTCACCCACGTGAGAGTCGGTGGGTAAGCTCACCGGCGGTGATGGGATCCGACGGTGAGTTTGAAAAAGATGACCGAGATCTACGAGTGAGCATGTGCGCCGATGACTTCACTCTTGATTGAAACGGAAATTTTGGAAGGGAAAAATATGGGTTATTTCGTATTTTAGTCGCTCAAAATCTTTGACATTGTTCTCATGTCCCTCAAATTCCTATTTGCCCTTGCAATTTTGTCCCTTAGTGACCAAAAATACCCCTCAACTATTATTTTTTGTGGTCAAAGAGGGTTTTCGAGGAAATATAAATCGGTATTTTGGTCGTCGAGGGATCAAATTGCAATGCCCTTTAGGATTCTAGGGACTTATGAGTAGTCTTAAGTCTTATGTGATCATAGTATGCCTATGAGACTAAATGGAAAGTGTTTGTAGAAAAATTTGTAGTAAAAGAAATGAAAGAAAATTAATTTGTATTCTCTCAAAATCGATTACAATTTGGATTTCCTGATTACAAAAGAGAGGAGTATTCTCTCAAAATCGATTACAATTTGGATTTCCTGATTACAAAAGAGAGGAGAATGAATTTGATTCTTCCCTTTGTTTAAATGGATTTCCTGATTACAAAAGAGAGGAGAATGAATTTGATTCTTCCCTTTGTTTAAAACTGGGTTCTTCACGGTGGCGATGGAGTGCCTCCTTCGAATGCTCGCGTTGAGTTTGCTCTTCATTGACGATCCGACGTTTTGCTTCACTGGAACGATGTCTTCTCCTTACGATTCGACGCTGTGGAGAACTTGCGTGGCAAGTTTGAGAACTCTGAACGAGTTTAGAATAACTCTGTGAAAGAGTTGATTTGAACCGAAGATCGGTTAATAAGCCAAGGCTAGAAGAAAGCTCCGGTGGTCGATCGTTGCTGAGGATGAACGTCGATCTCCCCCTTGCTGCCAAGCCAAAAGATCTCCTCTTCGCTGCTGAAAAGAGGATCAATCCGAGCCAAGAAGCTCCAACCTCGCTGCCCAGTCTCAGATCCAAAAAGCCAGCCGAAAAAGCCTTGAACTCCGGACCAAAGAAGCCAACCCCGAACTCAGTTGAGTTTACTCGTTTTTATAGGGGATTAAGGGGGTGTAACCGCCGACAAATCATGGGAACCGGTTTTGGAACCGTTCAGCTCGTGCTTTGAACGAGTCAAACGCTAAAAAAAATTAGCGTTCAGGGCCCTAACTCCGCGTTTTAGACTGGAGACGCGGAGTTGGGCACCCGCTGGTTGTTGAAAAATGCGAGGGCCACCCGTATTTTGGAGTTTGAAGGCTGGAAACGCGGGGGTCGCCTGCGTTTCATCTAATGAAGGTTGGAAACGCGAGGGTCGCTCGTGTTTTGCTTGTTGAAGCTTGGAAACGCGAGGGTCGCTCGTGTTTTGCTTGTTGAAGCTTGGAAACGCGAGGGTCACTCGTGTTTTGCTTATTGAAGCTTGGAAACGCGGGGGTCACCTGCGTTTCAGGAATTGAAACGCGGAGATGAATTTCGTGTTTTTAGAAGGAGCCAATGACTTATAGCTTCTTCTGCAGAGCGTTGCAAAGACTATTATCTTGTAATCTTCATCTTGGCTCCTTAAAAATATGAGAGTCGTCAGATTGTAACTCCTAATGTTGATTGTGAAGGCTGTTGATTAGAGCTTTTATCAGTTGTTGTGAAGGTCGTCAGATTGTAACCTTCATCGATCTATGTGAAAGTCTTCAAATTATAGCCTTCTGGAAGTCGTCAGATTGTAACTTCCATTATCGGTGTTTGATGGGGGATCAACTATTTATTTTAATTTTTAGACAGCCTACAGAAAGTTGTATAGAATGGGTATAATACCAGCAATGATTTATGGATCAGAATGTTGGACAATTAAAAAACAACACTCGCAAAAAAGAGTGTATCAGGAATGAGAATCTTACGATGATCTTGTGGATATACACTAAAAAATAGGATAAGAAATGAATACATTTATAGTAAATTAAATGTTGTTCCTACCGAGGATAAAATAAGAGAATCGACTAAGGTTATTTGGTTATGTACAATGGAGATCTCGTAATGCACTGGTTAGGAAAAATAATAATATTATTGTTTAAGGCCAGATGGATCTAGAGTTGCACCTAAAAAAAACTTAGTTGGAAATAATTAAGAATAATATAATAATGATTACCTTAATGTTATGGTGTTTCAATCACAAAGTGCAACCATTACGGATATGTGTACTTCTGCATGTAAATGCCCTAATCAAATTGGCGGCCAAGACCAACAAGGATTTCAACTTAGCCGACTCGTCGAGTCGACATTCCTTATGTCGACTCAAATGGCGAAACTTGTCGGTCCCCTTGCCGAAGACGACTCGCGGCGATCCCACTCGGCCAATTATTCGACGTCTCACAAGGACAACTCGAATGACGTTACTTCTCGGCGAAGCTAGAAGACGACTTCAGCCTCGAGCCTCTCCTGCTGACACAACGTCGACGTCATATTTAATGATTGGTGGACATCATCATACCTATAACCTCGATAGATTTCACGACTCATCGGACAACGTCGGTATCGTCATGCCCCAGATCGCTTCACATATAATGCTGAGGTGATCTCTCCTCCAGTAGCCAGCCGACACCTGTAAAGTAGGAGCTGAATCAGCCGCCAGCCCATGCTTCTACACTGTTATACTGTGCTCGGCCACAATAATGGTTCTACCCTTATACTATCAGTATAAATAAGAGATACTATTCTAACAGAACGAGGCTTCTTCTAAACTTTGGACTTTTTAACTTTTGCTTCTTCTGCAAATTATACCACACACAAGAACTCATGCGGTTCTTCATCTTTGGCTACTCAAGTTCATCAGCTGACTTGATCATCGGATGAACCACGGGGGAATCAGTCCCCATCCTCTCACGAGTTTCTATATGTGCATGCTTCAGCCACCTAACTCAGAACTGGATATTCGGAGAATGAAGCGGCCCCTCATCAATCATTAACCTCATCCTACCACGGACATAATTGACTATGTGATCACTTAACATCAACACTTAACAGAGAGGATGACCCAAAATATGATAGAATGAAAAAATAGGATTCATGTACACGACTTCTAATGTTTGGGATAATTATAAAGGCTTCATTTTTGTTGTTGTGTGGGCAGTTTCAATGATTTGAGGGACTACTATCTAAATAACGCAAAAAAATATTTAAAACAGAGAAAGGCTTGATATATTGTTTATCGAGATTTTTCATGTTACATTGTTACACACCTAGTTTTCGCACAATGATAAAAATATAATGACTTGATATATTGTTTCTCGAGATTTTTCTTGTTACATTGTCACACACCTAGTTTTATATTTATCATGTTTACTAATATGAAATGGTGGTAAAGAGTTTTTATGTTTTATTTATAATATATTTATAGAATATATCAAGAGTTTTTGAGCTTGTTTTTGACTTGAATATTGCAACGCATTCATTCTTCATATGTACAAATGTGCATTTATGCTAAAAATATATATAAAAAAATGTGTATTCATTAAATGATGATCAAATATCCACACTCTTATAAATTCCATGGGGAATTGAGTATATTTGTTAAAAGATGATTTAAGACCCATGGATTATATTTGTGCAAATCTCAAAGGGTAGCCATATTGTACTGAAATTTTTTATATTTAAAGATAGTGTGAATTGCCTGTCAAACACTATTGTTCTTCCTTAATTTCTAAGGTTATGATAGTTTAAGTCTTATTATTGCTCATTATGCTATTTGATATATCTGGATTTGTTCAATGAACTAGTATAATTGTTTTTATTATTTATTTTATATATTTTTATAATGATATTTAAGCATTTTGTGTGTGATATATTTGTGATTTCTCTCGTATTCAAGCATTTTGTGATTAGATTTTAATTTTTAGTTCTATTTTTATATAATTTTTTGTGCGAACCAATGTGTAATTCTCTTCCTTACACATTTGGATGATTTTTATCTAAATTTCTTGAGTATGAAGTGTAACCATGTGTATGTTTTCATCTTTTTCTAATAACAAAAGGGGGATACTTTTGGTGTGAAATTTGAAAATTTTGATGATTTTCGCACGAGTGAAGTTTTGATTAACTGGGTTCATGTCTTTTATTATTCGAATTTTTTTGAAAATGCTCGATGCATTATTTTTGTGAGAGTTTTACAATACATGTACTTGACCACGCTTTTCGTGAATGTAGGAGAACATTACATATCTTTTTATTTTTGCATGAGATTGTATTTGGGCTTATTGTTGCTGTTTATATATCTCACATATGCATATACTAAGGTAAATTGAATTTAAAGTTTTTTTTCTTATTAAAAGGGGAGATTATTATGATGTCGTCCCTACAATAGCTCTTGTTTGAGTGATAACAAACTCTAATTTGATACTAATATTTATTTGTGATGATATAATACATGTGAATATAAGTATGAGATGTGTATGAGGTAAAACGACACGAAAATCAGCACAAATGCTGATTTTAGCCATCGTACCATCGATGGCCGCTAGGAACCCATTAATCAGTATGAGGTCATCGATGGTCTACAAGAACAAATTACAAATTTTTAGATGTAAAATTTTCGCTCATCAATGGTTCACAGGAACCTATTGTAGACGGTAAAAAATACCTCTATGGGTCTACAGGA